GTGTGCTATCATTCAATAAGGAACATTTTCGTTTCTATTTTTCTTTACAAAATCAATACAAAGGTCAAAATATGTTGCTCTAGTATTTCATCCATTCAGTCTTACAGATGAAGAAAACGTCACTCCGAAGGAAAAAGGCAAATTGTATCATGGACAAAACTATTATGAAGTACAAGTTCACGGAAAATTTACTGGAGGAAAGAGGTGATTCACAAACGAAACTTCACGACAAAGAATTTTTCAAGTACCCTTACGATCAAACTGATTAAATAGAGGGGGATTAAATATCCTGGGAACGAAACGTCACGGAGGAAACAATATATATATTTACATATAAAACACAACAGGAAACTTTATAAGCAGTGCTCCGTCAGCTGAATACCTCACATTAGTGACGGACGATGAACTGATCACATGGATAACAAGCAGACTTGACACAGTTGGAGGTAATGACAGTACACGTCCTGGAGGGAAGAAGGAAATCCACGAAGCACTTGGACAACAGTCAGTTCCCAAAACAGGGACTTCCAAGATGTCAAACAACACTGCATGTCAGTATCCTCATAGGACTGCAATTCTTTAAAGTGAGAGACAAGAAGACATCAATAAAAATGTTTACAGGTATACAGGCTGTCGAAATGAACTCGCTTGGGCAGGGCGAATGGAGAGCTTCTTGCGAGACTGTGATGAATTTGATGATTTCGTAACAACAGAGAAATTCTTGGCTGTAACTGGAATTCCGATTATGCACAGAATAAATGTCAATTAGAGCTGATATAACAGAGGTATTCTTGAAATATTTATGGAAGAACGTGAAGAATCTCAGACATTGATCAGGAATAAATTTAGGCTTAATGAAACGAATCTAACCATTTGCAGGCAGTGGTATTAAGAAACATGCTTGTACTCCGGAGTAGCTTTTCTCTTTAACAACAGGGATGTTTTAGGCACAATAGATTACTATGGTCGCGGTGCAAGGACCAAGACCCCTTATACCTTATACAACAGGGATGTTTACTCTCCATTTAAGACTGAAAACCGGGACACTTTTGAATCATCGGAGGATGTGACTTCAAACAAACTCTGACCTACAAAATATAGTATACGACACACATAAAAAAAAATCCTTCTGAATGTGAAATATTAAGAAACTTCTCATTTTACCTTGTGAGTCTGGGTGTATCTGTAAGTTGGGTCGGCTCCTCCCACTTTTTTATCCCTCCGATTGCCGTTATTAGTTATCGCTGATGACAGTTAAGTGAAGTTACAAAACCCAGACGAATCTCCGTAAGAACATAAACCAGAACATTTGACGAGAGAGTACACACAGAAGGAACACTACACATGCTTCCCAACACCAGGAATCGAGAGATACTCTTGGAATGCAACTAACCAGCCGACCTTAGAACCCTTTCAATTATACCTGCTCGATCTCGATTTGTTCTGGGTTTATTACAGGTTCCTCTAACCAAGAAATAGATCAGGAGCTTCTGCTTAGTTTTTCTGGCTGGTGGACCTCTTTCAAATTAACAAAAAAAAAATATTACAGAAAGTTCTTATAAGAGAACAAAACAAAACATGCAACCCTATTCTTTCGATTTGTGGTGCTGACTCAACCGAGTAAAATGTATGTTATGTCTAGTGGCGATCGATGGAAATAGAGGAAATATTCCAGGGGACAGAAGTTGTGTCCAACCCGAACCCTTCAGAAGTGCAGAGTATTTTTTTCTTAGCAAAGCTATATAGACCCTCCTAACCGATATTCCTAGGGTCTGTTTGTAGCCAAACTTTCACGCTTTTCTTTATTCTCCTCGTCTGACTAGGTTTATATAGCCCTAATATTCTCACCACAATGTGTGCCATGAAGGGTGGCTTGTTACTTACTCCCAAGTGTTAAACATCACCTCGTCTTACTGCGAGTCTGTTCTTACGAGACAAGCAAAAGAGATAAGCTTAGCTGGAATAGCTCAGTCGGTACAGCGACGGGCTACAAGCTGAACGGCAGGAGTTCGTTTCCGGGATAGGGCAAGAGATTTTTCTTCACTCCACAGCTTCCAGGCCCATCCAGCCCCATATCCAATGGGTGTAGGGGGCTGTTTTCCTTTGGAAAAAGAGGCCGCGGCATGAAGCTGACTACTGCCGAGATCAAGAGTGACGAAGCTGTGCCTCCATTCCCCCCATATACTTCATGAAATGGTACTTAACTTACGATGCACAAGGAAAACTTTGCCTTTACTCTACCTCTGCTTACTCTTCAGAGAAGCCCATATGAAGAGTCATCAAAAAGAATGCCGAGATTGTAAAAACGTCTGACTCAAAACTTGTAAAACTTATCGAAATGATTCGTGGCGAAAGAATTGAAGTTCCGGACAGGCTCAGCTGATAGTGTGTAGCGAGCGACGTTGGGATGCTTTTGTCTGTTGACCAATCGGTGCAAGTTGTGTGCAAGGCCTGGACTGGGAGGGAAGGAAAATATTTCTGAACTCCCAGGAGCACAGATCTGAACCTGATGGACTTTTCCTGTGGGGATACGTCAAAATTGTGCATGGTGAGAAGATTGGAACCCGGCACTACGGAACATTATCACAGCAGCCATCGCATAACTCCAGATGTGATTCAGCAAGATCAAATATTGTCTCGATATGTATCCAGCGACAAATGGGGCACATATCGAAACATACCGAGGTAAGATCAAAGATTTCAAATATTTCTTAGCAACTTAACGCTCGGATCATGTCGATATATTTAATAGTTTCTTATAATCCCGTCATTCTCTTTCGATGAACTAGAGTAATTATTCCACTGAGAAAAGTCGCGAAAGTGTAAAATTTGTGGCTTGTACTCGCAAGATATCAGGTTCGAGACTCAGTCGGGATACACAGTATCATTACTGAGGCATTCTGCAATTTTTCTCAGCCACCTCCCCAGCAAATACCGGGCTACTACCTCAAATCAGGTCAAACCGCTTCCAATCACCTCCTCTGCAATTCACTATCGAATAAATCGTTTCTAGTCTCAGTAACTGACAACGTTGTTAAATAAACTACAAAAAATATTAAAGTCACTTATCAATGTGTTAATCTCAATGTGAATATTGCCGTAAAGCTTAACTCTTTCCTAGTATTAATCACAGCTGCATTGGTCAAAATAAATAAAAGACTAGCAGGACCGCTATTTACTTAAAAAAATCCATTCGGATTAGCAAAGTTTGGCCTTTTTTTATTATTTTACTGGAATGTAACAACTGGATTGAGTGATTGCAGTTTTAAGAACATTGTTGTGCTAATACCAAGTTCATGAATTCGAAATAAATTCAAAGTAATACTCCAAACTCTATAAAATTTATTACGGTAATTAGCAGCATATTTAAAAAATTTCAACTATCGATTGTTTCCAGGGAATTATGATATGGATTAATAAATCCACTGTACTAAGGTGTTCAAGTTTCGACCGGGCTAGTATAATAATTACAATGCGTATTTTTGTGAACATAGAAAATTCCCGCCAAACATTTTCCTACAAAGGCTGAAGATCAGTAGGTCAGTAAGATATGCTTCACCCCTCGTGGCAATTCGCCAAAAAGCCCGAAATCTTTTATTAGTATTACGCAGTGAGAAAAAATATTATCCGTAATTACGGTTTGTGCCAGCATTACATAACTTAATGTGGCTGACTTAAATACAGAACTATACGAAGCTTGATTCTAAATATGAGTAAGCCTAAATCATGAAACCATTACATTTATTCTCCTCTCATAATATTTGGCGTATTATTGCAGGCTTCAAAATTAAAGGAATATCAATTCCGATTTGGGACTGCATGATAATGAATTCTGATTTCAGTACGTTTCTGAGTTTTCTTCTTTCTAAGCAGGCAAATGCTGAGTGCCTTGGCATGTAAGTCAATGAACAGAACCATAACTTCCTGAAACCCAGGATGGTCAAAGTAGCTTGCTTTCTCTTATCAGCAAATCTTGGTTATATTCTGTAGTCCAGTTCCTCCCAAACGCTGGTCCTCTCTGCCAGGCTGCACGACGTCGCATTCAGCAGGAACCTCAAATCTCATCACCACATTCATGTTTTATAATTTAGGTTAAAATAAATAGTCCTGTAATTTTAATGAATGATGATGATTTTATCAAGAATTTCAACGGCACTGGAAGAAATGCTGTAGGTCTATTAGACACTTACTAACTAGGGCAACAATACAACTCCAGTAATGAACAGGTTGGGTTGGGGGTGGGGGATAACCCACTTGAAACAGGAATGTGCTGAATATGCTCGGTTATCCCAATCCATCACAAACAAACGTAATCTCAGTTGTTACAAAAACAAATGAGGCACTTGAGGCGTTGCAAGCGAAAGAGTTCTCAGAGCAGGCCTAATTAGACCTTATTTGGGGTCAATCAATAACAATACAAGATCTTCAAGAAAACAGAGTTTAAAACATAGGAACTGATTCCATACACCTAATGTCCTAATTATTTGGCTTTTCCTGTGGTTTGTCATTATTAACTTCTTTTAATTTCCCTGATTCAGAAACCAGAGCTCATTTACTGAAACTAGGCGGGACACAAGAGCAGCAGGGCAAAATTGGCGGTCGTCCGGGGTTGTTTTCTTGGCCTACCCCATTTTCCTAATTTCTTCCCAGCCGTCTTCTTGAGGAAGAACTACAGGCAGATTCACACCCTTTCCAAAATTCATTTTTTGAAATGAAGTAAACGTTTAGTGTGACAGTGTTATTCTGGTACATTCATTTTGCAATCTCACAATTCAACTTGTTTAAAATTTTGATACTATTTTTAACATCCCTTATAAAGTTAAACTCTACGTGGGTAAGATTTTGTTTTCTTGCTTTACAGCTCTGTTTAATAAGAAATCTTTGAAACCGCGAGGAGGCGCGCCATGTCTCTGCTAGTGATGCTGGGATCGCCCGGTACCCCAGCACAGCAAACCCCGCCTCGTACGCATCGACCGGTTTAGATGATTCGTTCGGTCGGTCTCGGGGAGCTAGAACCAGCCCCGAGCAAGGAAACCGGCCAGCCAAGTTCCGTGCTCCTACCTCGGGCGGCCCCGGATAGCTGCGGCAGCCATCTTGCTGCCACAATTTCCCAGCATCCTCTGAAACGTATCCGCCATAGCAACTGGACGCCTTCTTGTTTTAACCCAATATTTGTGCTCAATTTTTGCTGTTTTCTTGAAGCTTTGCAAATTATAATTTATATAAGTGCATCTAGTTTCACTGTGTGGGGTTTGCAAATAATTTGCTGTGATGATTTTATACTTTAATGGCTGCTTTCACTGCTTATGTATTCTTTTCTTTTTTGCTGATGCTTCATGGCTTTGTGTGCTGAATCTTTTATGTATATGCGATTACGTGTTATTTTCTTCGTATACGTGCGTGTGCGTGAGACTGATAACAAATGGTATGTACTTATGCTGGCAGAAATTAGCTCGCTTACAGACGTCATATTTAGTCCATTATAAATTTTAATAGCAGTTAGGCCCAAACAAATACTGATTTAAATAACTAAATTTTGAAACTACTTTTTCTCTCTGCAAAATAGTTCCAGAAATTTGAAAATGTGTTTATTTTAGTAGTAATTTTTTTAATTTGTGGAAGTAATTTATTTAAATTATCATACAGTTTACTCTCGCATACGTATGGCATATCTATGATAATGGACACAGATTTTGTTAGTCCTCAGAATAAAGAAAGATAAGGCTGAAATTATCCAGGTAAATGAATGATAAATGGAAGGTTTAGATTATGTGGAACATTTTGCCTACTAAACGGTAGGCTATTGATTTGTGTGCTGTGAACAAAAATTTGTTGCTGATAAATAATAGTGCAATCTAGTACATTTACATCTCTTATAGTAATGGTTTCTTGCATATTTTTTAATTTCTTAGGCTAGACCTAACATATATCTTAAATACTNCCCCCCCGCCCCAACAGGGATATTATATGAAAACTGCTTCGTCCATGTATATAACAGCGCTGCTATAGTTACTGTCAACATTGTTTCCCTTAAATTTATTACCATGACTCTGGGAATATTTGTTGTGTCAACATTTTACCATCATATTCCCCACATGCCCTCCACGCTACGCGATCACAATTTCAGTTTTCGTTTCGTGTATAAAAGTAATTTAACATTATGGACCATATTATGAGGTCATTCGTGCATACACTATTACTGGTCATATCGGGCTCCGGAATATTTTACCTTCTAGTTAAATACAAGTAGGCAGACCTAGCCTTAGAAGCGAAGGCTTGAAGGATAAATAATTTTATTTAGACAAGAAGTTTTATTTAGGATTTGAGATTCTCACAGCGGTGGTGTAGTCCGTTAAAATCAACCGACGTTTCGAGGCAAAACCCGGAAGATGGAGGCTAAAGTTCCTCAGGAAAGTTGGTTGACTTTCAACGGACTACACGGCGTTATATACAATAAGAGTGCACTCTTCAAGAAATTATTTCAGGATTACATTGTGGGCCTAACATAAAGTAATACAGAAATGTCAGTTTTTCTTTCCTTTAGTACAGAGTGTTTAGAGATTCTAGATGATTAGAACGTTTGTAGGAGCAGGGGTCGCACTTTAGAAAGAACTGTGTGTTGTATAAGCCTAAGGCAAAATATGCTCTATTGCTATTCTGGTATGTTAGTTTACTGAGACATTTGAAATTCACCGTAAAGGTTATATAAATAGGCCATACATGCTCTACAATAAAATGGAAACACACTGGAACATCTAATAGGTTATTTTTACTTTACATTAAATTGTTAGAAAAATAAACTATTATTCTGCATCAAGATAATATTTATATTAGTATCTGGGTTATATTTCTTGTATAAACTGAATATATAAATAATTACGTGACTTACTTTTGGCGATAACAAACTTCCGACAACAATCTTCTAACTCACCTGAAAAAGAAGAGAAATGGATCATTAATCGCATCGGCTTGCTGAAAACTGTGGGATTAGCCTGCATGAAGTTCTGCTCTTGACTAAAATAATTGTAATGGTTAGAATGGGCCTGGCAACAGTTCAGTTGCAGTTGTTCACGAAATCGCTTTAATTATTAGATGAGTATTTAGTTCTATATATCTGGTTTGCTTGTCAGGAAAACTGTGGCTTTAGGCACCATTTTTAGAACTAATTAACCTTCCAAAGGCGATCTGCGTAGAAGGTCATTACGGAAAAGCCTCACTTTCACAAAGCAAAACTCTTACTTTGGTAATAATGTTAAAAAGTATGCAATCAGCGGCCGGTCACTGTCTAACGCATAAACTGTCTTCACTCGCCCGGACGATGGGATCATGGGTTCGAATCCCACTCAAAGCATGGATGTTTGGTGTGTCTATGCGCATATTATGTTTGTGTTGTGATCACTCGTCCAAGGCGTCCTACCGTCTGAGAAAAGTGATTACGAAACTGAATAAGAGGTCTGGGCCATGAACGAGCTGGCTAGAGCCATAAAACAAAGAGATCAGCGGGCATGCAACAAGCATGGTAGAAGCAATAAGGTCACACAAAATTTTGTTCGGGTAGCCTGAAGGAAGACGGCCACACTGAATGTGTAGATGAGAGGGTAATATTAAAATCGATCCTAAAAAACATGATGCATGAATCTGGGTTGAAGTCCACTAGTTCAGGATATTAAGTACACAGTAAAGGGCGTTCGGGTTTCATGAAAACAGTAAATTTCTCGACCCACTTGGTGTTCATGAGTTTCTTAAGAAGGAGCCCCTTTGATGGTATTAATTAGGATATGACGAAATCCGCATAATTGTACATGGTTACTGAGTTGTTCTAATTTCTACAAAACTAATTTTTTGTGTTTTCTAATAAAGCACCTAAATTCTATCTGATCACGTGATGGGCCCATAGCGTATGGTCTAACCGTGTCTTCAAGCAACTGAAACAGAAGCACCAGAGCTAATGATTTCTGTTGCAGGCTCTGCAGTTAAAATTCCCATGTAGTGCGTGACAGCATATAGAAGTGTTCAGCTCATTTAATGGCAAGTGAAATTAACCGACACTGTGCACTTAGAAATAAATTATGAGCCATGATTATATGGGTTTCAGTAGTTTCTCGAGTTCAAAACACGCTGATCAGTTATATTTATTACTTACGTCTACTTGGATTGATGTCCATCTTCAGTGCAGCCGAAGATGACGAGGCCCTCAAAGGGATTGTCCAATTCCACCANAGGGGCGTTGGGTTTCAATACCCGGTCTTTCGCGTTACTTGGAAACGGCTCTGGGGTACATCCACAGTCCATTAAATGGTGCCAAGAACACTTTCCCTCGGGATGAAATACGGCCGAAATGAAGAGATAACAACACCCTGCTTCTGGGACCAATTTCTGAATATATATAAAGTTTTTCTGACGGCGTGATGTTTAAGTACACACTGCAGTACATCGCTTCCGGGTTGGGGGGGGGGCAGCCTGGATGACCAGGGGCAGGCATTTCAGTAGAGAAGGAATGTAAAACGACAGAATCAACAATACATATATTACAAGGCCCAGTTTTTTCACGACGCTATTACACGGGTTCAAAAGACTTCAATTCTCAATATTTCAGATTACACGCAGGGCCTGGGTGTCCCAATGGGACAATGACGTCATAGCATGTATTCCAGTAAATCTAAGGTAAGGTGTTCAGAGTTGCTCTAAAATATTATATTTCAGCATCCTGTTACACTCACACAATATATATGGACAAATACCGTCTTAAGTGCAACAATTTTATTGTAGTTTTTACTTCTTTTTCCTCNGGTTCAGAGTTGTTCTAAAATATTCTACACAGCTTTTGCGAGCAGATGGTAAAGGTTTCTGTCGATGGTGTATAGCACTCAAGAATTACTGGGTTTTTGGACTTTGTCCATTGTCCATCGATGGACATAATCAAAAAGCCCATTAGTTCCGGGTAGCTTATCCTGTTGGCTCTGATATAAAAGTAATTCCATACTTTGGAAGAATTTTACCCCCCAAAACCTTATAATTACAAATAAATTTTCCTTTGGTGCATGAGTCATTCTACACAATTTAGAAGTCGGTGCTAGGCGCTGCTTACTCATATAAGTACTTAACAACGCACTTCACAAAAAATTGCAGTGGTAGGGACAAGTCTACAGAGGCAACGTTTTCCCAGTGAATAATCATGCATCACGGCATGAAGACGTATGCGAAGTGGAGATACAGCTCCATGCCCTGTTACACTCGAACCCTAGATAAAAGTGAGTGGTTAGCTTCACAACTCGTCCGCCCTTTACTAGGGGGAGAAAAATGCCCAGGGTACCCACTGGATGGGAGGCTGGGGGTCTCCAGAGTCAGACTTGACATTGTGAACGAGAAAAAATACCGTGCTGGCAGTCAAACCGCCGATTCCTCGGTCGTTCATGCCTGAGCCTATTCATTACACCGACTCCAGAACTTGGCATGTGTGATCTCAAATGCCTCTCAGTTCTGTTATGTAAAACACTTGCGGTAGATGGATTGCACTGTGATGCCATGTCATGTGAAGAAACAGCGGGTAAGGTTTATGTCCTGGACAAGTGACGCCTGGGCTGGACTGTGTAGGATGCGAGAGCCTGTTCCCTCTATATACACACTTCAGATATTGTAGTTTATAGACGCAGAGACTGACGAGGAAGAAACAGTGGAGACTCTGTTTGGAATCACGGAGAGAGGAGAAAAGAGGAAAAATAAAGAAAAGAAAATTGGGGAAGGAAGGAGCATATAAAAGATGAATGAGAAAATACAGGATGTTTCTATAGGAACTTTGAACCTGGCAGTTCTGTGGAACGCAACAGCCATGTCATACCGCCTAACACTTTGCCGGGGACAGATTTACAGTAGAGTAAATGTTAACCACACAACTGTACTGATTTAGACTGGTTTAAAATAACCAATAACCCGTACCAATTGAAAGGAATATATCCTGTGTAAGATCGTGCTTAAATTAAAAATTTTCCGATACCGGCCAGGTTCAATCCTGAAATGAGCGTATATAATGTTATTACCAGGTTTGTCTTTTTAACTCATTCGCTGTTACCAAAGTAAATATCCTATAACTAGCCAATGTTAGAAAACCAATTTGAAACTCTGGACCACGAAACACACAAGTAACAGACGATACTGAAGTGAAACAACGGATACACGTTCGGTTATGAGTTCAGGCCTTACATACAAATTGCCTTTGTCAAGTGTTTAAAGTTAACTCCAGAAATATTAACAGAGGAATCTTAATCCCAACTTAAAATTGTAACTTTCTGCCATATAATTCGGCTAAATACAATTCAAAGAAGAAAAGAACTGTCGCAATGAAGCTGACAAGCAAGGAAGTCCATGCCCCAGTATTACCAACTCTTGGGCAGAACAAGACGTTTGAACTGTTTACGGAATCTAAAGTTAGAGCTCGAACTCTGTGAGGGGTAAATGCACCTGGTCACCCTCAAAAAGAGCAAAAGGCTGTGAGCTAAATTTAAAAGACGAAGCTGAAATACGAGTATCACTCTTGGTTAAGTTGAATGAAAACGGAAAGAGATTGCCCCCGCAGCTGTTTTCTTTCTTTTCCGTGTAAAAAATAGAAAGTTTCTCTTTTTCAGTGTCTGTATTTAGGGAGGATAGTGACAAGTGGTGACTTGCGGCAGCGGCAGTTTGCGTGAAATAGCATTTTTTGCTTTCTTTCTTTTATAAAAAAGGAAGGGAAAGTTTTGGTGCATTGTAGTTAGGCTACTTACAATGCGGTGAAATTTCGCAGTAAAAAGCACAGCATTGGGAAGGATGTTTGGAAGAGCCAAGGTTTGTTGCTACTCCGTTGACTTGTCCAGCATCAGCAAGTTTATGAACGTTGTTTAAGGCCACTTCTGCACTTGTCTAGGTTTAATCAGGTCGGGTCAAACGACTCTAGTGCAGCTTCCCCAGTGAGTGCCATAAAAGTGATACAACATAGAACTACAGCGTACGGGGCAACTCTGGCAAAGAAGAGACGAACTCTGACGGCGCGCAGTTACGTCTACGTGCCTCAGGTGAGCTTCAAGTTGATTATTATTTTTTCAGAGGAAATTAAGAGCAGATTTAACTCAGCTAATGCTTGCTACTATTCAGATCAGATAATCTTCTCTTCTAATCTGCAAAAACTATAACTTTGCTGCGACTTTTTATGGGTGTGAAACTAAGTCTCCGACATTAAAGGACTACCATACACTGAGGATATTTCAGAACAGGGACCGAAGAGGGACGAAATGGTAGGAGGTGAGAGAAAACTGCATAATCTGGAGCTTCATAACTTGTATCCTTCGCCAGATATAATTAGTAGCTAGTATTAACAAGTCCAGGATGATAAGATGGGCAAGGTATGAAGCACGCATAAGAGCAGATGAATGTGTATAGGGATCTGGCCGGAAACCAGAAGAAAGAGACCACTAGGAATATTCAGACGTAGGTGGGAGGATAATAATATGATGGATCTTGAGATAAATAGGGTGTGATGTTATGGAGTGGATTAATCTGGCTAAGAAACGTGACCAATGTGAAGACAGATGAACCTTCGGCTTCCACAAAAGTTGGAAAATTCTTGTGTAACTGAGCAACTTGTATTGTATGTACTTCAAGTTGTCATTATAGACAAACTAAAGCAATGCGCGGTGGTGCTTCAAGTCAACTTAAACTTTGCTATTTGGGGTCCTCATGGAGGTTAATATTAAGATTACAGTCGTCCAATTTGGTACCATCGTTTCGGAGGAATGTGTTACCTCTACCTTCAGATCACATGTCACAAGAATGGAGCCAACTGAATGTTTATGTTTATTAGTACAAGCCTAAGGAATTAATGTTTTCAGACTATGGTGTTCTTGTTCAGTGACGATGTGTACTTTGATAGATAGGCCTAAGTACCAACGTTGGTAGGCTTGCGGTAATAATAATTATGGGCCTAAAATTTCAATTATTTCTATCCTTACGAGAGGTGTATATAATTATTTTCACATTAATAATTATACAGGCTAAAACTGTAAGCATACAATGTCATCTATAATAAAAATTAAAACATCTAAACTTGAAGCAGGGATAGTTAATTATCGTGGTCTAGTATTGTATATTTAAGGTTATCCTAGTTTTTAACAAATGTTCGATTGGTTTTATACAGAAATGTAGGCATAGGTACGAGGATAGATGGACCGAAAAAGTTTCAATCCATTAATTCAAGTTTAAAATAATACTGTATTAAGATGTTACATGTATATGCAATGTATAAAAACACAATTTCAACATAAATTCAGGCTGTAACGAACGTCGACGTACCTCTCATCTTCCTTGAATTTACGACGAAACGTCCAGAATTTAACTGAATACAAATCATGCCATTCTGTTTTGCCGTCTGTGTATAAACTGACGACGCAACAGATACTGTTAAGACAGACATTTATTTCCTCTAGTGCAGGAAACATTTCACCTCAGTATCACTTACGGTGATATGGAAGCGAGCATTTCCTGAGTTCTGTGCTCTTAATTTCATTCAGAGTAGGCCAAAAATTCTTCTTACAGTAGTACGCTTACTCAAGTAGTCTTATAATTACCCATCTTCTACTTTTCATTTCTCTGATAGCAGACTTCTTCGAATTGTTTCAAACCAGACAGGCCTACTATGACCAGTAGGTGCCTATAGGCTATATTCCAGTTAGCCTAGCTTCATTAATAGAATAAGACTACGCCTGAATTTTAAATATTAAGTAGCAATATTTTTCTCTGATGTGCATTCGCAGATTTTTATCCCATCAATAAATGAACGTCAACTGAAGAGGCTGGACTTGTGATAACCGTCTAGATTTGTATTCTGCAGGCGCCTGGTTCAGATCTCTCTAGGGACACTGGCTAGTCTGACAGGTTTTCCGTTCCTTTCCAGTTCATCAGTCATCTCGCACACGACGCTATGCAGTTTTCTTCAGGGTTTTTCGACATTTTTCAATTCACGGCATACCGAAAACGGCGGTAGATTTGTCAGTTTTTAAACGAGAGATTTATCAGTAAAAAAACAAATAATAAGGTTGTGTTTAAAAGCTCAATAACTGAAATTATAATCATTGTGTTATTTTGTAAATCACGTTGATTATGGATTTCGACAATTTTTCATTCAATTTTCCTCGCTTCTTTTCGACCTTCCCACAAACTCCCGCGGCATACAAGCGGACCCTTCCCAGCAGACCGGTTGAAAATCGCTGTTTTGGATACTGAAAATGTCGTAAAACAACCCAGAACGAGGCTTATCAACGAATGAAAACATAAAAACCATGAAAGAGGCAGCTGAGAAACGTGTGTGGCCTATTTTCTCACTATTCGGCAAGTTTAGTTAAGAGTTGGTTGGTACGCCGGCTTACTTTATAATAGTTACTTATTTTTTATTAATGTTCTAATTCCATGGAACAGAGGCCTAGTTTTGAAGGTGACGACTGCTCAGCTTATGAAAATATGAATTGAAATGATAGGCACTGTAGTGAACACTACTATTCCCTAGAAATCCCGTAGTGTTTGGCGGCGAGTGGCTCGGGACCTCGCCGATGACAGAAGCGACAGCCTGCGCTTACTGGGTGGAGCTCACACGTCTCCGCCTATGAAGCAACAGTGTCCGCCTTTCCCACGCGCCCGACCGCCCGCTTCAGCAGCGGCAACCAACCGGTGCCTAGCTCCCGGCTTGCGCGCAAACATGTCCAACTTCCGACAAAGGTTAACAAGATAACTGATATTTCAAAATTAAGCTAGCAACAAAATAACTTGTACATGTGAATGAGGTTGAATAAATTCAATTTACTGAATCACGATTGCCACCATCCGACTCTATTGCACTTTTAAGTAAATATGGTTTGATTCCCAAAAATTGTCTCTTCAGACGTTGGTAAATAGGTACTTTGTAATTTACACCATTCTATATGTACATGATCTACAATTAACAGTAATCTCTAAGTCTTCACTATTCATATTTTAATATGTCTGCACTATTCATATTTATTCCAATCGATTTTGTATGATAGGATAACATCAATGACTGGATAATCATTGTAATGGAGATGCAGGGAGGAATTTAAATTTAAAATATTATTTTGATGAATTTCAAGCTTCTAACAGGCCATTTCCATAGACTATGAAGTATAAGAACTACTTGTAATTGACAGATGTTTGACTGTTTGACCTCACAAAGGAGGCCTATAGTAGGCTGTGAGATACAAGAACTGCTTGTAATGGACAGATGTTCAACTGTTTGACCTCATAAAGTAGGCCTATAATAATAATTTTACTATAGGATTCTGACGATGGTGTATAACACACTGATATATTGGGTTTTTGAACTTTATCCATCGTCCTGGTTTTTAAGATAACAAATAAAAACACGACGTTTCGGNTGTATAATTAGGGTTTCGTTCATTGCTAGATACTACAGTAAGCAAATAACATTAAGTAAGTAAACTTTGAAGTTTTCACGGCGGTGACTATGAAGAAAGCAGTTTTCTGGGATGTGGCGCAGTGTAGATGTGATGTTAACCGACGTTTCGGAGGAACGTATCGCTTCCATCTTCTCACCGTTTCTTCGCTTGCAGATTTCCTTATTTTTCCTTCTACCCTGAATATGGAGGCGATACGTTCCTCCGAAACGCCGGTTAACATCACATCTACACGGCGCCACATCCCAGAAGACTACTTTCTTCAAGTAACAATAAAATAATTTTAAAATGTACGTAAACAAACCAACAAACTCCGTGGTTTTAGTTCGCAAGCGAACTATACCGACCGAGAGACCAACTTTAGCGGATAGAGGATGTCGCGTGGTCAGCCCAACGGTTCCCCACGGCCGTTAATCTCGGTTTTCTAGACCGAATGTACGTAAACAGAACTGCTTACTTTCTAACTTAATCGTGTAAATTCTTGCCAATGAAAAGGCAACGGGTTTTAGTGTTTTGACTGACCTGTAACAAACGGCTGATAAGACATGACTGTGATATCAGAAATGTAATTTCCTGAATGATCGAACGCCTCAAAAACGTATACCAAAGACCACCGCATGATAACTTTACATTCTCATAAACTATTTCATTAAGAACCATTTTTAATATTCTCCGTTTCCTTCTAGGTCTTTCTGAAGTATCAGTTTAACCCGAAGATTCCACATAAAAATTTCATTACCATTTCGTGGTAAAATGTTGGACTCAAGCAAATTTAATTTTCTATTGTCAACAGAATATACGAATCAAGCAAGCCTGGTCATAATATTCAAGAAAGGTCCCTCAGTTTCTTTCTCCGAAAGATGCAATGTAATGCAATTCTTACTTCAGAGGCATATCCATTTCTCCATTTTTAAATTATTATGGGTGTAATACTATTAAGGCCGGTCACGGTAGCCGAGCGGTCTACGGCATATACTGTCTTCACTCGCTCGGAAGCCGGAATGGTGGGTTCTGTGTTTGTGTCGTCCTATGTTTAGGTAGTGGCCTTGCGACGAGGTGATCACTCCTCAAAGTTACCTACCGTCTGATGCTCCAAAGTTGGAGCAAGAGGAGAGAAAAAATATTAAGGCGTATTGTTCCCATAAAAATTAATTACGAAATCCCACACTTTAATGAGCACACGTGAACGTATTAAATGACTTGAGTAAAAGAAACAAAACAAATAATTTTACTTTGCACCAGTCAAGCCGCAAATGCTCACAGTTGGTAGTCCCGTTTACTGGCCTAGGTCTCCATTTTTAAAGAACCGAGTGTAATCGAGCGCAATCACACGTAAAATTGTTTCTCTTGGGGAAAGATTTATGGACCATCAGAATAAGAAGCAATTATGGAAGTCTTGATTAATTGCATGAAGATATGATCTGTGTACCCCAGCCTACATATCATTCTGTCATTTTCTTACTTCCATTGTATTGACATCGGGCAAAGTTAAAATTTATTCTAAGCATAGGTATATATGGGGAGCGCTTTATCTCTCGGGGAAAGCCCCAGGTTCACTTCTCTGCATGTACTTTCGAGCCCTTTCCAGTCTTCCA